ATGTTCCAATTCACATTTTATTATAACACGTGTATAATAGTGACTATCACATAATTATCTATAAATGTTGTTAAGATTCAGATATAATTTTAAATACAATTTTAGAACAGACTATTGTAACCGAAATAAGCAATCACATTAAGACATTCACAAATTTTTAGTATAATATATCAAAGAAATAGTGTAGCATGTTTGTCCCTAACTGAAAAGGAAATAAAATCAAGTTTGAGGGTCATCTGTAATTTTTTCTTAAAGAAGGTTGGTGGTTTTATATACTTCTATTATACCTTGGAGTTTACCAACTTTTTGCAGTCCTCTCAATTGGACAAAAATGTAGATGAGGATGAACAAGTGGGGGTTTAGAAAGTTGACTGGGCTGGGGCCTGTGAAAAGCAGAAATAAGATAAGGCCCATCAATTTGTAAACAGTTGGGCCACAAAGCACGTGAACTTCATATGGTCTGGGACCATTTAAGTGGGAGACCCTACTTAAAATTATTGTTATCTGTATTTCCTTTTCCCCCATTCTTTTTCTCTTTTCCGCTTGATCAGGAAAATAAAAAGTAAATCAGTAGAAAAGTAGAAAAAGAAGAAACAGGCAAAATAACTGAGTTTTATGTATAATTAATATTCTTGTTTTCTAAAGTTATATATATTACTTTTATTGCATATAGTTTTTTGGTAAAAAAATTCACTAGAAAAGCGTGTCGAATATTTTGGCTAGATTTGAAAAGTATGATTACAATAAGATAAAAATACATTATCTTTAATATATGAATATATAAATTAAATTTTATTGATAAGATATGCAACGATCATTAATTTTTACTTAATACTAATGCTGGTGGAATTGTGGCTATATAAATCTTTAAACTAAATTTTATTTAAAAAAAATATGCACCGATCCTTAATTTTTATATAAAATTTAGTTTATGAATTTGAGTAGTAGAAACGAGAAGAGCACCATAACGCTCTTTCTAATAACATAAAAAATTATTAAATTAATTTAATTGATATTAGAGTTGTTAAACGAAATGTGTTATTCGACTAAATTTGTTAAGGCTCGAGCCCGATTCAGCTAATTTAGTTAACAACCCGATACAAGGTCGAGTCCGCCTTGAAAATAAGAATTGTTTTGTAATATTGTATAATTCTACTCGTTAATATTATAAACGAATTGAATTCAAGTTTCTTTAATATGGCTCAAACCTGAGCTCGAATATCTAGCACTCAAACTCGACTCAACAAATTCAAGGGAGAGATAGAATTAAAAAAAAAAAAAAGTAGAAACTGGTGCAAATATGCTTCATAATTAATCCTAATTTCTCACCTAACCTTCATTTTGTGAACTAAAAGCTAAAAAGAGAAAAAGGAAACCAAAATAATATAATTTGTGGATTGAAAAAGACCCCTCAACCAACCAGGATACAGATATAGATCAACTTTGCTACACACCAGTGGAAAATCTTGGACACATCCATAAAGGCATGGCCACGAATAATTACCACCCAAATAAGATACAACTCAGTTATGTACGAAAATAATATATAGTACTAATACAATACTCATACCTATATATTACACAGGTGTTGAATTAAAAAACTTTTATAAAAAATGTTAAATTTTTTATTTTTTTAAAAACTAAAATAATTTAATTTTATATAAAACATTATTTTGGGTTTTAACTAAATCGTCAAATTATATTTTTTTAATCATAATAATTAAACACCCGTACATTTAATGAAAATGTCAACCCGTGTTGAATTTTTTTACTTATATCATATAAAAATATCGATATTATTTACTAATACAGAAGTACAAAAATATATATCTTAAATAAATAGAAATAATATGGTGATATGTATATGCATAAGTATAGAATATGTTTATTTAATATTAAGCAAAATAGATTAATTATTTTACTTAATTGAATGTCTAATACATTAAGTATCGTATCAGTGGTGCTTCACAGTTTTTTAATATTAAGCAAGGTAGATTAATTTTTTTACTTAACTAGATGCCTAATACATCAAGTGTCGTATCAGTCGTGCTTCACAATTTTTTAACTTTATATGTAATTTTAGAATTTAGATAAATAATTATTTATTTTTATTACATTGAAAACATACAGATTAGATTTGAAATAAATATCATTTTTAAAAGAATGCATACCAATTTTTATTACTTTATAGTATAATTTATAGTGTTATTTGATATAATTTAATTTAGTTCGATAAATAAATTTAAATTTTATTTATAAGGATATATATTACTGTTTTGTAATATATATATATGTATATATATATATATATATATAGTAAAATACAAACGAATTTCATAATATCAATTCAAATGTAATACACTAATTAAGATTTTTTTTTTCTTGACAATATTAATCCTATTTAATGGATGTTATGGGAAACGATGGAGATGGGATATGAGAGACACTGAGTATTAGATGGAGGGTTAAAATTGGAAAAATATGAACAAAATATCTAAAACGACATTTATTTTATCAATGACCAATTAAGCCAAAGTGACAAATAATAAAATAGGAGAGAGTATATATTATTATATATTTTAGTATAACACATGTTAATTGTGCGACTTCTATGTGTTATATTATAATAAATTTTCTATCTTATAACATATAACTACATTAAACATAAATATATTGATTGATAAATAAATTTATTTTCTAACTAATTTTAATAAATAATTTTATTATTATTATAAAGATAAGTATAATTTATTTATTTTATATATACAATATGGATGTCAAATCAAAGTTCATCAAAAGATGATTAATTTGATATATTATATATGTAAAACCGATAAAAAAATACAAAAGTTATCAACTATTAAAATATATTTTCAATTTAATGGTTATAGTTTGATAAATAAATTTAAATTTTATTTATAAGGATATATATTACTATTTTGTATTATATATATATATAAATAAAAAAATACAAACGAACTTCGTAATATCAATTCAAATGCAACACACTACTTAAAATTTTTTTTTCTTGACAATATTAACTCTATTAATGGATGTTATGGGAAACGATGGAGATGGGATATGAAGGGACATTGTGTATTAGATGGAGGGTTAAAAATGAAAAAATATGAACAAAATACATAAAACGACATTTATTTTATCAACGATCAATTAAGCCAAAGTGACAAATAATAAAAATAGGAGGGAGTATATATTATTATATATTTTAGTATGACACATGTTAATTGTGCGACTTATATGTGTTATATTATAATAAATTTTCTATCTTATAAGATATAACTACATTAAACATAAATATATTAATTGATAAATAATTTTATTTTCTAATTAATTTTAATGAATAATTTTGTTATTATTATAATGATAAATATAATTTGTTTATTTTATTATACAATATGGATGTCAAATCGAAGCTCATAAAAAGATGATTAATTTGATATATTATATATGTAAAACCGATAAGAAATACAAAAGTTATCAACTTTTAAAATATATTTGCAATTCAATAGTTATAATAGGAAATGATATTAACATACAATTAATACAAATATTAAATTATATCCAAGTTTAAGTCTAAAACATGATTTTTTTTTGCCAAATAGGATTCTGAAGCATGAGAGCATGCAGCGCATTCTGAAATTATATATAGAGGGGAAGGAGATGTATTTACAAGATGACATGGATAAATGATAGTTTAGCCCAAATAAAAAAATAAAAAAAGTTACTTCGTTTGCCACAATATATAGCTATGCCTATGCAGTTACTTTTATGGGCATGGAGAACACTTTATAAGTCAGAGTTTTTGCTTTTTTAAGTAAATAAATATATAACTTATATGTTGTGATAATGTCAACTTTGTTTACTGAGATATGATATATAAATATAAAGAAATGTATATTCATTAAGAAAAATATACCGTTAAGCCATTATTAAATCTGTCTTGTGTTTATTTATACCGAGTAACATATTTATCCTATTACATACACAGATACAAACAAAATATTATAAATTATATGTATAGATATAATATTGAGAATTATATATAAATTAGATGATAAATATCACATTTTGTAAATTGATCGTTAGTGGAAATGAACAGTATGGATACAAATTATTTTACTTGCATATGAATCACATATTGATTGTATAAAATGCAGAATAATGTAGTATCTACAATTTTGATGGATTATGTCCAACTAAATTAGCATAAAAAAATATTAAAATTAGTATTATATAATAATTATTGACACAATTTTTAGTGGATTGTTATGCCATTAAACCAATTAACTAATTACGAATTTCAAAAATCGCTTAATGAGATGTAAAAATAATACTATTGAATTTAAAATAAATAGAAAAAAAAGTTGCAATACATTTTTTAATAAGTATGTAACTTCCATATACCTTTATATGGAGTTTACAAATAGTTAGTATTAATAGAAAATATTATATGATATAATAATTAAACAAATATGGCTAAACATATTTATTGCAAAATATAACGATTTATTATCACAATTAATTGAAAAAAATGAGTGAACATTAACTATTTCGTATGTGTATCATTCATTCAAGAGAATGCAACATGAATCCAAACCACGATTTTGAAACAAGAGGTCTTATTAATTATTTTTTATATAGCTATTTTGGAAAGTTTATTATGCATAAATTCTCTATCCAACATGATGTTATATTGAGTCTTTTAGAAATGGTGTTTTACGTTAATGAAATTAATCAATCAAACTCTTTATTAAGCAAGTTAATTAGCAACTTTTAACCGGTCAATTTCTAGAACGGGGGTTCAATTTGATACTCCGCTATCACAACCAAGTGAGTCTATAATGTCTATAAATAAAATTTATAATAAATTCACTAGTGATGACGTAAATGATCCATAATTCACCAACTTCTCGGCCTAAAGTAGGGCCATCATAATCATCATTAATTAGCAATTGTCAACTAATTTTTTTTCTGATCCACAATAATATATATGCCATCTAGTAAATTCCGTTGGCCTTTCTATCCATAATAATTCAAAGTAATTTAACTGGATTCGAATTATAAAATTATAAAAGCAAATTGCAAAACAGAAAATTCAAAATCTCTAGTGGACCAAAGTTTGACTAATGAACTTACCGAAAAGTCCCTCAACAAAAAGTAGCAGGCCTTTCCAGATTTTGCACACACACGACACATATTACAACTGATTTGCCGGAAAACTCAACCGTCCGATAACAAACACTAAAAGGATAAACATAACAATACTGAAAACAACATAATTTATTCTCCAAAAACAAAATCTAATTACACGCCGGCGCCTACGAATTCGCCTGTCAGAACGACGGCACGACGCCGTATCTGGCGTTGGCGACGAAGCTCGCCGCGCCGGCTCCGGCGCCGAAGATCTGGTCGATGTCCGACTCGGACTCCGATTCGGTCCTCTTCGCGAACCGGCCTTTGATCCTCGGCCGGGTCTCGGCGTACGCCTTTCGGGAAGCGTACCGGATCGTCTTCTCGAATTTCCGGTTCTTCCTCTTCTCCCTGTACCTCAATACCCTAGCCTCCCGGTCCATCCCCACCACCTGCGACCCGGTTGAGCCGTTGCTCCGCCCGAACGGGTACGAGTTTTCCGAGAACGAGCCGCCGTCGGGCACGATCCCGACCTCAATCGACGACGAGGAGACCTGGAATTCGATTAATTTTTGGGTTTATTACCCTATATAAAATTGGGGGAAACAATTATGAAAACAGGGGATATTCGTTTATTTTTCTTATTTACGCTTTGGCTAAGAGTTGGAGCTGTGTAGCTGCAATTGTTGATGTTGGATCCCGAGAAATCGATCATAAACCGATTCTCCGACGAGCGGTCGTGAACCGGGATGTCGACCGGCTTGACGATTGCCTGAACCGGAACCACGCTGTCTTCGTACGGCTGCGACGGGATCTGGAAATTGTCAAAATCGAGGAACTGATCCGAGTCCTGAAACAGCAGTTCCATGGATTTCAGATCGCCGTCTCCAGATGCCTGCAGCTTGTCGATCCACGAATATGGGATGTGACTGTCGTCGGCAGCCGGCGGCAGGAAGGAGGCGGCGGACCTCGCGAGGGCGGACTCCGCCGCGTCGTGGAAGGGGACCACCGGGACGCGGTCGTGGCGGCCGGCTAGGGGGTTGGCTGAGTGGATGTCGCGGTCGCAGGCGGCGCAGAGGGAGGCAGCGTCAGCTCGGCAGGTGACGGCGGCGGGTGCCTGCTCGCAGACCTCGCACAGCCAGACGCGGCCGTGCGACGCGCCCCGGCGGTGGGCAACGGCGTCGCAGGCGATGCACAAGAAGGCGGAGTCGGCGGCGCAGAAGAGCAGTGCCGCCGCCGACCGGCAGCAGTCGCAGGGCCTTGCGGCCACGGGCAGTCCCGCCGGGAAAAGCCTCGCTCTGCCCGCGAAGTTGCCTTCTTGAACCATTCCCATTTCCTAACTTCGATTTTATTCTTTTCCTTTTTCCTTTTTTATTTTATTTTATTTTTTTTCCCCCTTATTTTTTCCTTCGTAAATAACAACACGCGATTGGCAGATTCGATGGCGTTTGTGCAGCTATGTATATCCAACGGGGCATATGGGAGACAAGAAATATGGTGTGGGGATGACACGTGGAGCGGTTCGCAGCCACACAAAAAGATTTGAATGAAAAACGGGAATGATATTTTATGTGTTCAGTAGTTGTCATTTGCCAGTGGCGACTTTGGGGTACTACTGTTTTCATGGGATAGAGTGGGGCCCCGCGGAGACGAAATGCAACTGTAGAGAGCCATGTTCCTTGGTGAGGGCGAGGTGAAATTTGGGGGGTGTGATGGGGCAACATGTTTAAGGACAAAATGATAAACGAAACATTCGGGTCAATTCGTTAGACTTGAATTTAACTTAGGTTGTTTGATAAATGAATCAAATCGATATACAAGTCAAGTACATGTTGATCCTTAAGATGTCTAATTGCCGCTAGTTGGTTGACTCGGAAGCTTGGAAGTGCTTTCCAGGTTTGTTCAAACATAAGTCGTCGGTGAAGAAGGATACATCCCGTTCTTGTTCTGCATGTGTTTCGCGCGCAATTGATATTTTGCTCTCCTCTTACTCTTCATTGGCCGAGTTGAGAAGGCTCTTCAGTCTTCTAATCATGGGAAGAAGATTTGGTTTAGGCTTTCCCCAACAATTTTGGCGAAAACGCTATCCTTTGCTTAGCTCGAGTTTAGACTAGTCTTGTCTCCTAATACATGTTTAAATATGCTCGAATAAAGGAGAGTGATCTCATTATTGCCTATCCTAGCAAAATTAACCATTAGGACCATCATTGACCAATTAGATATTCTTGATAAATGAAAAATTATACTCCCTCTTATTCATAATAAGTGTCGTTTTGGAAAGTTGCACACTAATTAAGAATATTTTTTTACCAATAATACCCTCATTAATGAAGATAGAAATGAATGTTTAAAAAAAAGATGAAGAGAATATGAAAAGCGTAGTGTAATTTATTAACTAAATGAGGGTAATAATGGAAAAATATGTACAAAAGATCCAAAACGACATTTATTTTGGTTAATAAAGCCAAAATGACATTTAAAAAGAATAGGAGGTAGTATAAAGTTTAAGAGCACTTAAAAAAAATCAGACACATACAATTTTAACTTCTATTACCACACAATATTTTGCTCACGTTAGATTACAGCTGTTATTTGAATTGAGCCTTTTGCTAACACAATTTGGTTCGACTAATTAAAACTTTAAGTTTGGCTTGTTCTTTTATTTAAATGAGCTGAGCTCAAACAACAAATCAAGTTTGTTTAATAAATGATTCGACCTAAGCTTGTCTGCAAATAACTCTTTTCATTTATAGGTTCCAAACGAACAACCTAGCCGAGCATGCTTCTGAACACACGAATTGTGTTCGTGAGAAACACCTTTAAAATTTTGAATTTGTTAGATGAGCCGGGCTAAAGACAAACATTTGGCTCATTTGGTAAACAAGTGAGTTGATTCGACTTAATTTTTAAGCAAGAACAAACGCAAAGCCAAAATGTTCGCCTCGAATAACACCCGGAAGTTAGATCTCAGACAAGTAACGAAAAGTTTTAGTCAAGCTAATAATATATTGAAAATCAGGTTCCAACAAAATCAACACTAAACTTGGGAAATGTAACTGAATTTTACATGTAAAATGAAAATAAAAATAAAAAAAAATANAGAGTAATTCGCTCAATAAAACTTCGAACAATCCAGCCGAAAGTAGCTTACTTTTTCAATTTATTTATCTTATCAGTTATCTGGTCAATGAGTATTCCTCATTTTTCTTAAAAAAATAAAATAAAAATTAAAACAGTCAACTTAATTGTCAGACTCGTATACATCGTGCGGCTCTTATTTAAAACATCAAGACCGACAATCCAATTATTTTAATCACGTGGAAATGCTGCTTAATCTATCTTAATTGTTCTTAAGTTAATTAAATCAATTTACTTTAGATTGGTCATTGGTAAGTGCTGTTGCAAAATGGCGACAGGTGATTGCTCCAGGTGTCTGCATTTGGCGATTCATTAAAGATAATCCAATAATTTGCTAGTGATTTTTGTGGGTCTATTTGTGCTGAACTTTTTATTCTTGTCAAACTTTTGCCACTATAATAATAAGAATGATCATAATAAGAGTGCTTATGATCTCATTTTAAGATATGCCATTTGACTTTCTGTCCAATGTAATTAAATGATTCAATTTCTTAAGTGTGATTTGGTCAGTACTTAACTCCCACTATTTCATGTTCGAAGCTTCATTTTTTGTGTAATTTTTTTAAGTATGTTGAATTTTTTTTCCAGGTGACATATCAGCTAATTTTACTAGATATTTTTATAATATTGCTAGTTTTTCTGCCATAAATTATATAAATTTAAAATTCACATATAAGCTATAGTTAATTTATTAGCTATGACTTAGGTTTATCAAACATAAACGTCAAACCTATCACAACATATTATATATTTGCTGCCATCCGTTGGGTGTGGGCGTTTGGCCCATTTTCCCGTGTGGCACTAATTCCTGAGCTGAATGAATGAATTATTGCACAAAAAACTGGGCTACATACATTATTGATACTTGAAAGAATAAATTACAGAAATGTGGGCTCCACCAGGCGTGGTTTATATACGGCCCACACGTGACATGGGGATCCAGATAAGTTTAATCGGGTCACGTACTAATTTCTAACTACTTTTTCATCAATTTGCATAAATATTTGCTCAAGTATAGACATGGCCAAAACACGACCCGGCCCGGCCCGTCGGGTCGCCGGGCTAAAAAATACTAACCCTGAACCGGTACGGATTTATACTCGTGCCGGGTCCGTGTTCGGGCCGTGCCGGGTCCGGGCCGGGTCCGTGCTTTTTCTAAAAAAGAAGTATAAAAAAATAACAAAAAAATTAAAAAGAAGGGTCATCGACCCGGCCCGGTCCTGACCCTCCGGGCCGAGTCATGAAACGAATGACCCTTACACGGCCCTTCTGAAATTCGGGCCGGTCCCGGACCCGTGGTCAACGGGTTTGATCGGGCCGGGTCCGTATCGGGTTCGGGCCGAGTCAGGGCCGGGTGATCCTTTGGCTATGTCTACTCAAGTATCTTATATCCAATTTCACTCAAGTATCTTTATTTATTTTGAATATTATAATGCTTTTATATATTTCTTGTCAATTCCGCTCGATTTGTCCAAATAAAAGTATAGAATTTCCTTCATTTGAGTTTGTTTCCAGAAAATACGCTTGTTGCTAGTATACTTTTATTTAATTCGTGTCTATAAATAATTCTTCGTAATTTGTTCTGGAATTTGACATACATAACTCTTTGTTATTTTCCTCAATCTCTCCATGCGAAGACAAAGAACAAGCATGTATCGCGTGATCTTACTATATGTTTTGCTTAAGGAAAAAAGAGATTTTCCTTTTACTTTTTTAGTAGTTGGAGGTTAAATCACGGGTGTTTGGATAAACGTATTTATTGTGAAAATATTTACTAGGTCAGTTTTGATAGAAATATGTTATACTACCATATTCGTATTTGCTCTATATTTGAATTATGTGTACTNGTCAGATTACAAACATTCAGCAATGTTTACTTAAACTTAATGATTTTGTAGTTAACCGATAGTGTGAGACATAGACGAGACAATAGATGCCTTTTAATGAGTTTTACTTATCTTGAATTGAAAAAGAAATTTATCCTTTTTAGGAGGATCTTACCTTTGTAAATTATGTTTCGACAATCTAGACTTGTGGATAATTTGCCTTTGTAAATTAATAAGTTTCACAAGTTTAATTCTGTAGTATCACTATTCTTGAAGTTCTACCTAAAATTGAACTTCTGAAGGAATTTGAATACATTATAAGACTTGAAAAACTTATGGCTTTTACTAGTTTCAGTAGTGTCCTTATTTTCATTTATTTGATTAATCTGTATTATTGAGTAAGAGGGCCATCTTAAAACCAAATAAGGTAACTAGACAAATTGTACATTCGTATATTTCAACATATAAAATTAAACAAAAATTGCTGCCTTAATTTCTTTCAAGTAAAGAAATACACACACTACATCTGTAATTGGGTCCATTTGGCATAATTTACAAATTGAGCAAGTGGAAGCTATCCTGGGCTTCACCAACTAGTGACAAAACAGTACCAGCAATATGTTTTGGGCTTAGCCCAGCTTCCTCTATCTGTTCACTTTGGGCCCCATGCTCTATATATCTGTCAGGCAGCACCATGGGCCTCCACTGATACAAATAAAATCAAGAAAATATGTCAATTAAACTGTAAATTATTTTCCTTGTGTTGTATCTCTCAACTTTGGCTTATAATCTAAAGAAATTTACCTTAAGATTGCCATCAAGCAAGCCATTCAAGCACAAGAAATGTGAAACATGTGCACTAAATCCCCCAACAGAGCCTTCCTCAACAGTGATTAGAATCTCATGCTCCTTAGCAAGCTTCCTAATCAAATCCCCATCAAGAGGCTTGCAAAATCTTGCATCAGCCACACTCACAAGCATCCCTACTCCCTTAAGAATCTCAGCAGCTTCCAAACAACTCTGTACTATCGTTCCAAAACCCAATATCGCCACTCGACTCCCCTCCCGTAAAACTCTCCCCTTACCAACCTATCAAAAAAATAAAAAATTACGAAAAAAGAAAAAACGATAATAACGAATCGAATTCGAAAACTCGAACCCCATACCTCCATAGGAGTCCCTTTGTTGTTAAATGGAAGAGTCACTCCCACACCATTCCCTCTCGGAAACCTAATGCAGCTCGGCCGGTCATCAATCCTCACAGCAGTCGCAATCATGTGCATGAGTTGGGCCTCGTCAGACGGGCCCATAACCACCATATTCGGCAAACAGGCCATGAAAGTCGTGTCAAAGGCCCCACAATGAGTGGGCCCATCGGCCCCCACAAGCCCCGCCCTGTCCACAACAAATCTCACCGGAAGCTTCTGAAGGTCCACGTCATGCGCCACCTGATCATACCCTCTCTGCAAAAAAGACGAGTAGATGGCGCAAAACGGCTTGAGCCCCTCGGCCGCTAAACCGGCAGCAAAAGTCACGGCATGCTGCTCGGCTATTCCCACATCGAAACACCTTTTCGGGAAAATATTTTCGAAAGAATTAAGCCCGGTCCCACCTCCCATAGCCGCATGGATAGCTACTATCTTTTCATCTTCCTTAGCTTCGGCTATTAAAGACTCGGCGAAATATTGAGTGTACGAAAGCGTGCTCGATTTAGGCTTCGTCTGTTTCCCGGTTTTCGCATCGAACCTCACAACACCGTGCATTTTGTCGGGTGAAGCTTGCGCCGGAGGGTATCCTTTTCCCTTCTCGGTTATAACGTGAATCAAAACGGGCCCCATGGCCGGAATATCTTTAACTTTTTCGAGTATATGAACGAGATCTTCTATGTTATGGCCATCCACAGGGCCAATGTAGTAAATCCCGAGCTGCTCGAAAATGCTACCCTCCGGTTTAATTTCTCCGAATTTCTTTGCCGTGCCCTGTTTCGTGAAAGAGTAAATTAGCATTTCAGAACAAACAAACAAACAATGAGATTAAAATTTCATTTTTTTTTTCGAAAAATAAATGGTAAAATTAATTACTTTTGCAGATTGTAACTTTGTTAAGGCTTTGCTTAAAGCCCCGACTGGCGGAGCAGGGCCGTTAACAGTGGCCGTGGGGAGGGAGACTTGGTTGTTATCGTTCAAGATTATGATGAGATTCGAGTCGAGATAACCGGCATTGTTGATGGCCTCGTAAGCCTGTCCAGCTGTCATTGCTCCATCTCCGATTATCGATATCACGTGGTTTTTCTTTCCCAATAAGTCCCTTCCTACCGCCATTCCTAATCAACAACAAATTT